ACTGTGCGATTGGGTACAATTTGTAGATCAATATTACGGAATGAAAAAAATACGGAAAGCTCGTATGCAATAATGAAAACTGTATGTATAATTGTAATGTCTCATCACAGTAATGAAGATTATGTACAGTTTTTCAATGCGTGTAACACAGCATTACAGTGACCGTTAGATTGTCAAGAATGTGTTTCACGCCAAGGTAACAGAATATGTAAATAACAATTTGATGAGTTACCGGGGTTTGACCTGGCCTGTACCTGACACATAGAGTTGATATGCGATACCGTATGACCGTAATGAAAACACAGCTGGACGTTTAGTATTTGTTATTTGCATTCGGTTTGCCTGTAGCTCCCCTTCACCTGTGTTTTCACACCCCTGGCCCTACCCGACGAAATACGTAAGCGCCCCGATCGGGGGAAAACTAACGTTCAGGTACATATAGACGGCTAGTGGCTATGTTTACGGGATTGTGTTGTGATTTCACAGGTGTCGATTAAGGTCGTTTAACAAATACCGAAAACACAATTTCTAAATTTAGGAAAGTATAGATATAAAGATAAGTTTATTGGTGTAGGTAGAATATAGAAACATACATAAAAATCAAGGTTTATATGTTTAAACACGAAACCATATATAATGTTAAGGCATTCCTCAATTAACACCAGCCACGATTGCTATCGCACAACGTTCGTCCATCGTGCACACAAATGTGCGCAAGATATGATCGGCCACATTTTTATCGTTCGCTCATCGTGCACACATCGTTCACACACCGTGCACACATCGTGCGCACACTGCACATCGCGTAACGTTGTGCGATCCAACAACAGTACATCACATTTACTTCCAATTCCATCTATACCCTCCTACCTCACCGTTACTTCCTATACAACCTATACCCTCCTACATCACCTTTACCTACTATACCACAATAACCTTTCTACATCACCTTTATTTCCTATACCACCTTTACCCTCCTACATAATCTATAATCTCTTACACCACCTATACCATCCTACATCACCTTTACTTCCTATACAACCTATACCCTCCTGCATCACCTTTACCTACTATACCACAATGACCTTTCTACATCACCTTTATTTCATATACCACCTATACCCTCCTACATAATCTATAATCTCTTATACCACCTTTACCATCCTACATCAACTTCCTACATCACCTACAAATGTAAACTGTCTTTACCATCTGTACCCTCCTGCATTTAATTATATATTTTATTTAAGTAATTATATTCATTTATTTTATTTCAATATTTCTATTTCATATTATTTACTTATACATTAATTTGTTTTATTTATTCAATTTAATTATTTGTATTTCATTTTATAGATTTATTTATTAATTTGTTTTATTTATTCAATTTAATTTTTATTATTTCATTTTATTGATTTATTAAATAAATTGCTTTATTTATTCAATTTTATTATTTATTGATATTTTTTTTTATTTGTGGCGGTTTTGCCATTCTTGGTTTAACCATAATCACGTTCTTTATTAGTATTTTCAATATTTTAAATACTTATTTGAATACTCACCATTATTTTATTAAATATTAAAAAATAATAAAATTGCTAGGTCTCAATGATTTTCAATGGTGTAATCAAAGTCAATTTATTGTCAATGTTGGCAGGGATCTTGTACCTCTCGAACCTCGCAGGAAACACCCCGATACATATTGCGAGTCGATCGCAGGACTTACACACTTCGACCTGGTCGTAAACAAAACCCACATGATACAGACAATAAAATTAACGAATAAGCATACACACATAGAAATAAAACTACAAATATTTTATAAAATGAAACTCGCCGTTTGGACGCACTAATTATAAGCCTCTCTTCAATCCAGACTACCCTGGTGTCGTTACGAAACCATCGGCATATGCGTGCAGTGATGGAAGAATTTGTAGATTTAGTTGAATTTGATTCATATATTCATATGAACAGAATGATATAAGTATGAAAATTAAATATTTAGCATATACAAATAACTAATTACTCAATTATTTTCTGCTTATAGTTTTACTGGCCAATTAAGGTGCGTGCATCCATCAATCAGCACACGACGCAGCCCATATTCGAATATAAATATAAGTCATTGCTAAACTTCCAACTTATTATTTTATGTATTTATCTATTTTATTTGTATATTTATATTATTTTTAATTTGTAAACTTTATTTTACATGAAACTTTTTTTATTATATAAAAACATTTCAGCACTCACATATTCTTAAAATAACCTGTACATAGCCATCGATCGTTTACTTAAATAACCAGCAAAACGCATATTCAACGCAGATTCAACGCTAAAGTTAAAACGCACATCAAACGGTCAACGCAAACGCAACGGAAACGCAACGAAAACGCAACGCAAACGCAACGCAAACGCAACGCACTTTTGGTAAAGAAAAACGGTCCAGGGTCTGTATCAATCAATGGCAATACATGATTTAACAGTCTACCCCTTCGGGAACCTCAAAGGTGCCTGATTCATTCTCGCAACATCTTTAGGTTATGATGTGAAATAGAGAAATTGGAACGCCTTTTAGGTTGTATGTTCTTCCTGTTTAAAAAGGAAATCAATGTCTGAGTTATCCCGATGCTTTTGATGTAGTACCTGGTTTCTTCAACAGAAGCAAACACACAAAAGCCCTTAATAGTGATCGGCAACAGATGTCAAAATCTGGGACGAAATCAAAACTAATAGTCCCCGCTGGGGTTCACCCAGGTGTGACTAAAATGTTTTTTATGCATCATACAAGATTTCAAACAAAATAGGATTTTCAAAATGTATAACTCTTAAAGTATTGGCAAATTTGATTTTCTGAATATACACAATTTGATTTTCAAGGAAGATTTTTATTAGCTTTTCTAAATCAACTCTATTGATCTCTAAAGCAAATACGAACTATACTGATCCATTTCCCTCTAAAAGTTTATATACACCCCAGTATATAAAATTATGTCATTGATGAGTGACACTATTATGTATCTCAATCTTTTTGATGATCATATACACTTTGTTATATACACAATGTTATTCTTCAGGTGGCATCTGTACATGTCGATAGCATTAGTACGACAAGCATCATCTTTGAATGACACACACATGCATGCCATATATATATATACATGATTTAACAATAAAATGATTTTTTTTTGTAATAAGAATGTAAACTTAATCAATAATGTTTTGATAGATAATTAGTGTTAGGGCCCAATATAATGTCATTTTGATAGATTCTCAATCTTTTGCTGTTTCCTCTTAAAGATAGTGCTGATAATTTAATTCATTTCAAGTCAGACTAATACCTTATTACAAAGCCCGTCTATCATCATCGCACAGTCAACTTAATTTTTCACAGTTTCATCTGCCTACAAATTGATCACAACAAAACATTGAAGTTAAAAGAATCTAGTTGTTGAACAAAAAATATATCTATTCTTTTTTCATTTATAGATGACCAATTAAATACAAGAATGCACATAGCATGCTGTACTGTTTCCTTCCATGTTTAGCACACGACACCCAGAACACTTGTAGCACCAAAACATCACATACCTGTATGCTCATGATGCCTGGAAGAATCTGTAGGTTGAGCATTTTCAGTATCGCTAATGATTTGTATGTGTCTTTTATCTATATTAATGTTTACCCGCCAAACAGTAAATAGCATGTCAGATCACAGGATAAATCAAACTACTGACAGTTTAAGTGAGCCGAGTCAAATCTGTGGGATTTTGCCTTACGTCGTGAGATCTGGAATGTATGCAGTGGTGAGTTGGTTTAGGAGTTAATTGACCTACAAGTTAAACTTACTTAATCGAAGCTTTTGCAGATGTTTGTTGTATGTATGAATACTTGAGTACAAATCCCTGCACTTTGTCATTGTGGTTGTTCATTGTGGTTTTACAAGTCTTAAATATCCATTTGCTCTGCCTTATCAGTAAAACTGAATTTGTGATCGTAAAACCATTAAATATGTCTGAGAGGGCGGACACAAATTCATGGTTAGAGTCATACCTTAAATATAACCTGTATGTTACTTTAGACTATATGTTATCATCATAAGAAAGTGTCCATACTTCATGCAGCATTTTACATGTATATTAGACTACTGTATGGTTTATTAACAAGTTTTATATTTATATATATTTATTTATTTTAAAAGCAGAAAAAAACAACATTCTCAACAACTATTCTTAAGTATATATGTATATAATTATCAGACTACCTTGCTGACATTATTTTCTGTGTTTGCGTAAGTACTGTGTTGTATTTCCTTTTACATTCAAAACTCACTATTATGTAACTGATATACTATTCTATGAGATTAATCTATGAAAAATGACCCTTGAACTGTTTAGAAAGCTATGCCTTGCTGTTACAATATGTCCTAGTTTCGCCAGTTGCAGATATTTCAAATGCTTCTTAGCATGTTTCGGTTACATCACAAAGTGCACAATTAAGTAATATGGATATATTCCGCAAAATGTCTGAACTTGGTCTGAGCTAGCATTTCCATTATGCAACGACACAGTTTTACTAAAACCTGTGAATGTGTCGACGAATGAGAATAACACAAAATACCTTAGAGACAGCCATGCTTGAGTATTGTCATTGTTGACTGAATTCCATTTATCTATTCATAAGAAATTTGTTACACAGAAACAATGTGTGTCATGAAATGAGATACATGACAGTGTGTGTAATGTCATCATGAGAAGAACCTTCACTTGACGTCATATATCTTTAATTCTAACAAATATGCAAATAAGAATATGGAATGTTTTCAGAAATTAAATTCATCATGAAATGATCCTTCAAACACTTACTTTAAACATTTGAGAAATTATATTTTTTTTGTTTAAATTGTGAGGACGGATGTTTTTTTTGAAAAAAATGTATTGGTTTTTGCACAATCTGAACTAAACTAAAGAAAGTAACAACATACAATTGACATAACTTACCTCCAATTGTTATCACAGTATCAGTGATGGTGGAGGTCAGTCCTATAGGTTCATACTGCCCAGCGAGATTGACTACAAACTGTACGTAGTATGTACCCGCTGAAAGAGAAGTCTCAAGTTTCGGTACAATGACACAGTTGTAGCCATTGGCATCCGTGTCGGCACATCCTGTATTACCAGTACTCGTACATGTTGCTGTTGATGATGGGGAACTCACCGCAGTACCTCCTCTAGTTGGCTGGAATATAATGTCATAAATGCTGATGAGGCAGTGAAATGTGCAGGATGCAGACATTGATATAGTTACATTTTGTATTGTACATTCATATAAATATATTTACATTTGCATGGCAGTGTCACTATATAGGCTATTGAAACGCTCTGTCGTTCATGGGACTTTAATTACCATAAACCACGAGACATAATTTTTAGCGTATTAATACAACACCGACCGGAACTACAATCGCTGGACATTGGAGACTTGACAATGTCATTGTAATTGTGTAAAACAAAGAAAAAAATATTGAACAAAAATAACTTTGTATTACAACAAAAAACAGACAAAGGTCTGCAATATCGTACAAAATGCACATCGGTTGAAATAACTAATGACGGCAATGGCAACAATTTAACACTCAGGCAATTTATCAGCAATATCGTTTGTTACACTGCACTGATCAACAGGGGTTCGATACAGATGTCTGAAATACACATATATGCTATAGACCTACTGATATGAGTCACAGCACACAAACATACACAAGGCATACCTGTATTTCAGACATTTGTAACGAATCCCTGTGCTCTATCGGAAGATCACTCACTGTAAACGATGTCAATATCACACGTCTATCAGCCACGGTTTCCTCAGTTTATTACGACATGTCAAATAACGAGGCTGTTATAGAATCTACCGACTGTAGTCAGGTTCCCATACAATCAACAAATAAATTCAAGTCTAGATTCTTCACGAATTCGAAATTTTCTCTCTGCTCTTACAACTTCCAAAAATAGCTCCCTCGTGGAGGGCAAGGTCGTATTACGGTGTTTACTGTATTTATTTCCATGCGCGAAATGTGTTTCGGGGAAAAATCGAAAAAAAAATCAAATCTAACGTTCAGCTAAGATTTGTATTGATAAGCTTATATCACCATACAGACATATCACACGAAATTGTATTGATACTAAATTGTGAAATAAAATTAAACTGTTTGTTCAAAATTCAAAGTATTACTTTGTTTGCCAATCAGCACGCGACAACACGCTGTTCAAACTATTGAAGGAATTTGTGTGGACTGTCGATAAGGCAGGAATTTTATTTTTTTTAATATAAATTGTAAGTTAAAAAAGAACATAAAAGGCAGAGAAAATGTAAATATTAGTATTGAACTGTTTGTGTATGGTATTTATGATATATTTAAATGACACAGCTTTGCAAGCAAACAAATCATAATGCGCATGAAGAAGTCATTTAAAGAAAAAGTGACAAGAAACCATATCACACCATAATTAGCCCTTTGGCAGGTGAGTTACATAAGATAACCAAGAGGGATCTTGACGCCCACCATGGTACCATTTTCATGTCAGTTCTATTTTTACTCGTCTTTTCTCTTCTCTGTTTGATCAGTTTGCCTGTCTGCCATCTTAATAAGTCCGTTGATCAACCTCAAAAGTTAACATGAAGAACGAAGGACCAAGGGGAAGTTATAACGTATTAAAATCGAGAATGATTCCTCCAGTACATTCTTAAATATCGACAACAAACTTTAACTGTCACAAAATGGCTGCCTGTCCGCATCTTTGTTTTCAGACCAGTCCAACGATTTGATAGGAATAAATAAGAACCAAGAGGACCACTCGACCCATTTTTACTACCAAATTCAATACGACCACCTGCCAGCTATCTTGGTATTCCAATCATCCCAAAAATGCGTAACTAGGAACCAGGGGGAAACTTCGTGTACAACTTGAGAAAGTCCCCTCCCGTACAATCTAAGAAATAACACTAGCACACTTTCATGCTGAAATTCAAGATGGCTGCCTGGTGGCCAGATTGGTTTTGTGATCAGTCCCAACAAACGATATGCATAACTAAGGACCATGACGAATCTTCATGTGAAGGTCCCTCCAGAACTTTCTGATAAAAGCGCTAACAAGAAAAGTTTAAGGATATACGGAATGACGGATGGAATGACGGACGAAATGACAGACGGACGACGGACTTAGGACGTGGGGTGATTTGAATAGCCAATCATCTGATGATGGTGGGCAAAAAATAGCCTTTTGCAAATCTAATACGTTTCCTTTAATGATAACAGAGGAGTGACGCCCTTTACTTTAGAGGATGATACAGTGGTATTTCAGGACCATAACTCCTGATGTGTACTGTACATAAACCAAGATCACTAATCAAAGTGAAGAAACACGATTCGATGACATTATATTCATTCATGTACATGACTAGTTAAGCATTTAGTGGTAAGACAACATACCTGTGTTTTAGAATTTAACTTACCACAAAGTACACGTCGAGTGAGACAGCTGGATATGCACATGTAGCTGTAATGGTCAAGCTTTGTGTATTTGAGCTTGACAAAGTCAGAGCGGAAACAGTTTGACTTACAGTTAAGGTAGGAATGTCTGAAAAATATAACGGAGCATAATATTATTATTTTTGTAATGTTATGATGTGGTAGATTATATTAGTACTATTATTAAACATTATTTTTAACGTAATATTTATCTAATAATATTCATAATTAATACAGGGTCAAACAAAAGCACCACACAGCAGAGCATTATATATATATGCAATGATACATTTATGGAAAGGAAAGATTGAGTCAATATTCTACCCGCACCTCCATTTATTTCACCAGGCCATCATTAAATAATAATCATGAATAATAACTACAGATAAAACAAAGCATTGCGACCCATACAAACTCATGTGTGGTTAAAGATGGTATGTGTTACAGTTGCTTCAAACACTAACAACTTCAAATATTCTGTGATAGTTAACATGATATTTGACATAAATCTAATTGATACACAAACAGATGAGTAAGTAACACCTGTTTTCGAATGTTGAGTTTGAGTTGGATGTGTACAGATGATGACATAGCTTGTGATTTGATTAAGAAAAATCAAAATAATCCATTAACACAAATATTATGGTTACCTTAGCATTGGCATCAAAAGTACTGACTCATTTGATATATTTTCATTCTTAACCAATATATCATGTTTGTGCCAAATTCCTTTCAATAGTGAAGTCACTAGAGTACTAGTGATGGCAGTTGTTCTCAATAATAGTAATGGTGACCTTGACCTTGGCACCCTGAAAAAAACATATGTTTGGAATACTGTCATAGTTAACTAACTTGGAAAGTTTACCAACATTCTTGCAGGAATAAAGTCATTGAAGCAATGACAAACAAATTCATAAACGTGAACATGAACAGTGACATTGACCTTAACCCGAATTATGACCTCGTCTGCTGTAATCTCCTACTTCACCAATACATGAAGTTTGATCAAGATCCTTTCAGAAATGGAGCTACTAGAGCGAAAACAAAAACAAATGGATATATTGTTTTTATAGTAATCTTGACACCGTGAAACAAAAACCCATCCAAGTACAGTATTTTCAAACTGACAACCAAAGAAATGAAATTTCGATGAAATACATGGAAGAAGAAAGTGCTGTTCTGACACATACTGGTGGCTAATTCGCTTAACATGTATCGCAAATTGTACAAACACAAATCCTTGCATTGATGCTAATGAACTTGAAGAAAAGTGGATGGGCTTATTACCGGGCACCCTAACTATACATGATAAGTAAGGAAATGTGAAGGGTGGGATAATCACCAAGTAAGTTTATCACCACTAAAAAAATGTAGCTAGAGTGATGACAAAACAACTATGAATTAGTAACTCTTACTTTGATATCTTTAAACATGAACTCCTTTGAGATTATAGTCTGAGTTTGTGTGTGTGTGGTTTTCGCTACATATGTTATCCTGGATGGGTAGACATAACAATGTTGTCCCTATATATGTATATATTTATAAACACTGCTATCATGTCAGTAGAAACATGTCAGAAGTCAGTCATACTGTCATTTCAGTCTATTCTGTGCAGGTCATAAATATCATGATTGTTCCAATCTCAAGATCCTGATCCTGATATATCAATGGAGGTTTTTGTATGATGGCGCAGACACTTAAAAATATGCTGATCTACCAGCGTATACGTAGGTTCTATCCCAAGAAACTACCAGCCAAATATATGAGTCTGTGCCTTTTGATTCTTCAAAAGAAATATATTGAAGTGTTTGACATTTTTGACCTCTGTGACCTTGAAAGGAGGTCAAAGTAATTTTCATTCTCAAAGTTTGTCTGGCTCTATCCCAGAAAGCGATAAGCCAAATATAATGATTCTATACATTTAAGTTCTTCGGAACAAGATGTTTGAAGTGTTTCACATATTTGACCCCAGTGACCTTGAAAGTAGGTCAAGGTAATTTCCATTCTCAAACTTTGTCACGCTCCATCCCAGAAAGCGATCAGCCAAATATTATGATTAGATGTTTTTCGATTATTCAGAAGAAGTTTTTGGATGGCGTTTGGAATATTTGACCCCCTTGTGACCATGTAAGTAGGTCGAGGTCATTTCGTTCTCAAACGTTGTCAGATTCTTACCAATGATGTTTTCTGCCAAATATAATGACTCTAGGTCGGTCTATTCTTCAAAAGAAGTCGTTTAAAGGAAAAGTTGAAAGACGACGACAGACGCTACACCATGATATAACATCATCACTAGCCCTTCGGACAGGCGAGCTAAAAGCTACTTGCCTCAAATATGTTTTGTTGTTGTTGTTTGTGTATTTTACATGTCAGTTTTACAATTTTACTGCTATAGGTACATTGGTAATGACATCGTAGCTTCTGGTGAATTTTATATACAATATGAAATATAAATATAATGTTGTCAGAACTAGAGATCAGACTTATATAAGATAACGTAGCAAAATCAAAAGGGTTTTCTATACATTTTCTTATAACCTTTTATGAGTTTAATGTAAGCAACATAATTGAATATATGATTGTTAATATAATAATGTCTTTTTTGTGAAAACGACCACCATGGCAGATTATGTGTTTTTTCTTTCCTTTTTCTTTCAATTCTTGATACTATATGACGAGCATGCGCAACTATGGTATTGATACCTATGCTGCTATGTTCAGAGCCTTTAAAATTCAATAGTAAAATGCTGGAAATCACAATGGCAATGAATGGTAAAGTGGAGAGGAAATACATGTGTTTTCAGATTTCAAAAATATACAAGATTTAGTTTTTTGTCTCTCATGGTTGCACAGAAGAACATGTGTATACGAATACTTACCTGTATACCCTTGAACACAACATGTAACACATCAGATTTGGAAACATTGAAAAGGTATGACACCCTATAATGAAAGCATACATTTAATGACGTGTTTAAGCATAGAATGTGTTAATCTTGCCCGGAAAAGAAAAACACAAACCTAATCTATGTTTTGCTTAATATGAAAAAGTATAGCTGATGTAAGGCAGTAATTGGTGCATACAGTATTTGTAGGAAAGCAGTGTGTTACAGTTATTTGGCATCATACATTTTTGCTGTTTCATTTTTGCTCGTTCACGACAAGTGGAAAATCAACTGAAATAATACCACATCAAAAATGTCCCAAAGTACAGTATATTCAGGAGTATTCTATGCTAAATACTTTTTCTTTTCCATGGAAAACCTTATTCATCAGCTGTGAATTTATATATGGTTACGTTTAGAATTCCATCATCCAAAACAAATATTAGAAATGTTTTTAAAAGATTGGTATACTTTTCCATGTTTTCCACACTCACCCTTCCTTGGGGTATTAACAGAATATCATTAATTTAATTTATACCATATCATTCCCATAGTTCAGGATTTCACTATGCCAAATTACTTTAAAACATTTTTTTTTTTTTTTATTATACATTGTATCTACCTTCCAGCAATTACTTACTTAGTACTTTGATGTATATGGTGTTGGTATCAGAACCTCCATGTGAAGCAGTCCATGTACCTTCATCTCTTGATCTTACAAGTGACGTAATGCTGTACGTGGTAACATTGGTTGTGAAATCCTGAGAAAGGTTTGATGTACTGCATATTCCTGGTCCCACGATCGGTGCTGCACAAATATCTGATGATCCACCAGGCTTCGTTAAGGCAACTGCTGAAGAAATGCTGCTTGTAGATATAAATATCTGAAGATCACTGTTCCTTACCGCATTCTTGTTCAGTGTCAAGGTCAATCCATCTACCAAACATGTAACGAAAGATATTTTAACAGATATCTGTGAATAACCACTTTGATCTTGGATTTTGGTCATAGTGGTCATTTAGGGCTTTTTACAAATGTTTAAAGTCTGTGAAATGAACCAAATCCTAATTTCAAATAAACCTCATTTTTCCATTTGCCATAAATTCCAAATTTGTAAATTCATTGTGCCTACGAAGGATTGGCAGCATAACAGTGTGTGATTTTTTTGCTATAGATTTTATCCTGTAAGGCAGATATCAACATGTTGTCTGTATGAATTTATATAAAAGTGCATTTTGATGAACAATTTAATTATTGTAATATAAATTGGGCATGCATACTCACCCGTAGGGTTATCGTCCTTGTCTTGGTATATAACTGTGTTAAGTAAGCGTTTGTATTGTCATCATTGTCAGTCTACCGTCCGAACGTAAATAAACTACGTGTAATCTACCGTTATGTTGTGTGAAAAGTTTGTCGTACTTTGCATTATGGACTGTAAGCGTTTAGGAGATCAGGAAGTTATGTGACGTGACAGGAAAATGGATTAACCTGATTTACCTGATTTTCGTTTGTGCCATCGGTATTTAAGCGATTGTTATTTTCATTCGGACAGATGAATGTCTAACGAATACCGGCTGGAGAACTTGTGAGTTGATTACAGAAGCTGAACAGGTACATGTACAAAGGCTGTATAAGTCTTTGTTGGAAGGCTGTATCGGCCTTTCGTTAAGCGGTGAAAATAAAGGTCGCTGAGCAAGTGACCATTGGCCGTGTTGCAGAGGCAGGCAGGTGTTAGAGGTGTAAGGGCTGTAGGGAAATTGATTCAGCAGCAGTAAGCATAGGCAGGGCTCAACTACATGCTACTATAAACATGTGCACAGTTGCCACCCTTACATAAATATTGAGTCTCTAGTACACTAACGCTGCAATATTGCGGCGATATCGCCGCGTGTTCAGATTTTGTTTGCAAATAAATAAGGTTTCAGGCGATATGCGTAAAATATGCCTTGTATCAAAGGTATAACTGAGGCATAACTCAAATGTACCTCATATCAAGGCAAACTTTAAATATACCTTAGACATATGTAAACTGTGCCTTGTATTAAAGGTATACTTAAGGCATACATCAAATGTACCTCATATCAAGGCACATTTTAGATATACCTTAGACATACGCAAAATGTACCTTGTATCAAAGGTATATCTTAGATCTACCTAAGATGTGCATCAGAAGTAAATCAGACAACGTACATTTAAAGCATGGCTAAAAACATTCTTTTCCATACTGGGTATACATTGTAAGTGATTTATTGAGATACAAGGTTTTTGCATTTTTTCCCTACTATCCCTGTTTGTTTATTAAGAAAAGAACAAGTTAATATTTTTGCAAATAACATTTTATTTTGATATAACTACTGATTAAATGTTCAAACAGTACAAATAGGAATACATATAAGTTAAATAAATAAGAACTCAAATAACAGGATGACCTATACACCCCTTTAATCAAAGGGCGTATTCATTATCACATGGCTGCTACCCCAACGAGATAACCCCCAACACCAACCAAATCAGAACAGTTTTGATACATGTAGTGATCAAGCTTATTAGGTCAATTAAACCTTTATGATGTCCACCAAAATCTAATCAGGCCAATACTCTTGATTTAATATCACATAGTAACAAAGTGAGGTACAAAACCTGATTACATAGTCACATTATGTGGTACAAAACCTGATTACACACTAACAAAGTGAGGTACAAACCACGATTACATTATAACAAAGTGAGGTACAAAACCTGACTGCATCGTAACAACGTGAGGTACAAAAGCCGATTACACAGTAGCAAAGTGAGGTACAAAAGTCGATAACACAATTACAATGTTAGGTACAAAATCTCACTACATGGACAAAAAGTTAGGTTCAAAACCGGATTACATAGTCACAGGCATTCTCAAATATAGTCTGTATACAAAACAATCGTGATGGGTTTTTTTCAGTTCATATTAGCTTTATATCATATTTTCTATTGCAAAAATAAAATAAAAAGATAAAAAAATAAAACATGACATTGTTGTTTATCATTATGAGTTTAGACATTGTTTATTAATGATGTCACATCGCCCTTCGTAATACACATGCTTTTTTTGTCGTATTCTCGTGTCGTCATGTCCCTATTATCTTAGTGTAAATCATAGTAACACCGGGTAAACAATAGTACACGTGCGTTACGATGAAATGTCGAGACTTACCATGGAAATGTGTAATCACACATACTTCAGAAATAAAGCTTATGAAACAAAGAAATTAGTTAACACACCTATATTAAAATACATATTATACCTGACATGTAAATATACTTTGCGTAAGCGGGCTTTGGAATGCTGCCCAAAGTGTACATGATTGAGAGTAATTTTGTTCCATAAAAGAAATAAATTTACTCAAATAACGTATTAAATTGCGTTTTCAAATGAGAGTTATCTTTCTTTGTCGAATTGTCGGTTCAAATATTATACTAGAGTTACGCCCCTTGTTGAAACTCTCTCTTCCTATCAGGCCAGTTACAGAGGAAATAAGCGAAAGTAATTTCAATGATTCAGTCGTAATGCCAAAGGTTAGAAAAGTCACGAGGGCAAGACTCCCAGGGAGGAGACCGTCCCGGCAGCCTTCCAGCCTTCTCGGTTTACGGTCGACTCACCACCTAACGCATCAGGGGCTGAACCACCATCAGAGAAATTTACAGATGTCGAGGTTGTAGGAGCTTCACCATCTACACCAGCCTTATCAGAGGAGGCCATGTCAACTCTAGTGAACAGAGTGGCGGATACAGTCATCCCCCAGATGATTGAAACAATTTCTACGTATCGATGTTAGGGCATGATACAATTGCCTGTGTTGAGGCTGAGGTGGATAATATAAATCCAGCCATGCACCAGGTGAACAGCTATGGGAATAGTTTAGGATTCAATGTGTCAGTGGGCATTTGTCCGAAAATACTCAATGGAGAATACATTGATTTAAGTTTGTTGTTGCACAACTCAGCAGCGATGCATGAAAGTGACGAACACATTGCTATAGAAAATGGCCATTTGGTCATGAAATTTAAAACCAAGCATAAGAGATTGTAAACACAGATCAATGGTCAGATGCTTTTTTTACTTTTATTTCTATTTTTGTAACTGGTCATCCAGAAGAGATCCAGCTTTGTGGCAGCTTGGGGTGGAAGTATTATGACGAGCAGTTTAAGCTAAAGAAAGCCACTCGCCCCGACATCAAATGGGAAGTAGTTGATCAGGAACTATGGCTACTATATATGTACTCGAATCCCCTCAATAACAGCAAATTAAGAGCAACGCCCTTTTCAGGTCAGCAAAGGCTTGTGAGCTCAAGTGTTATAGTTTTAACTATGAAGACAATTGTACTAAACGGCGCTGTTCTTTTGCACACACATGTTTGAAATGCTCAGGTAATCATCCTCAAATAAAGTGTATGGTAAATATACAAAGCAAGCAAAATTCTAATTTTAGATCCAGTGTCCACGCTACAAAGTCAACCACAACTGTCTCGATATCATATACAGCTACAAATGGACACTCAAACAGGGCCGCTGGCTCTTGGTCACACGCCAATAAATAGTCAGTCACTAGCTGATTCTCAGAATAATAATCAGGCTAGAGCTTTGGTCTCACAACTTGTTACAGGTTTTACTAGTGTTTTTTCCTTACATTATTAGGGTCCTAGGCACACCGCAAACTGTCGAAGTATTGAATTAGCTCAGAATAATGTTCAAGCAACTTTAGACGAAGTCTGTAAAGAAGTTGTTTTAGGTAGAATAGAAGGGCCTTTTTAGCTTCTCCCTTATCTAACCTCAGATTGTCACCTATATGTATAGTGCCAAAGAAAGATGGTTTATGGCGTCTTATTCATCATTTGTCTTATCCACTTGGCTCTAGTGTCAATGATTACATTGATAGAAAAATGTCATCGGTTGAATATTCTTCTTTGGGATCATCAGTTCATTAGGGAACGGGACGTTACTGGGTAAGATGGACATCAAGTCTGCATTTAGGTCATTCCCTGTACATCCCACACGTTTTGACCTATTAGGTTTCAAGATTGCTGACTTTTTTTTCGTTGACAAATGTTTACAATAGGATGCGCTATATCTTGTTCACTTTTTGAAAAGTTTGCCCCAGCTTTACAGTGAAAAGTCTCTGAACGAACCAGAATGAATAATCTTGACCACTACGTAGATAATTTCAATTTCGCGGGAAGCAGTAACACCCCAAACTGTCCATTATTGATATCCACATTTTCTTTATTATGTGCAGAAATAGGGGTGTCTGTCGTTGATGATAAAACCATGTGTCCGTCCCATACGGCATACCCTCACCTGTTTAGGCCTTGAGTTGAACACATTGGAAATGTCGGTCAGAATTCGAGGGGACAAATTGGTTGATTTACGAACTACTTTTCTGTCGTTCTTAGATAGAAAAAAGCACCCTGCACGATTTGCCGGCCTTAGCAGGAAATCTTAATGTCTGTGCTAGATCCATTCCTCCTGCAAGGCGTTCATAAGAAACATGATTTACAACATGATTTTGTTATACAACATGATTTTGAATGTCATGTTGTATAACATTCAATTTAAAGCTCGACACATTTCTGATGCTATCTCTCGGAAGCAATGGGATTATTTTCACCAGTTAGCAGCGAATGCAGAAAAGCAACAAACCCTCATTCCAGAGTCTTTGCAGCATGTAACTGAGTATTTGCTTAAAAAGCAATAGCACAATTATCTAGGCAGGTGTATGATAATGGTTTAAATCAATTTGAAGCTTTTAGAAGGAAGTATAATCTTGATTTGTCATGGCCCCCACTTTTGATACATGTAATACATTTTATGGCTAATATAGCCAAACTAGGGTTGTCTCCTAGTACGGCAAAAGCTTGTATATCAGGTATTGGTTATAAGTGTAAGGTAGCAGGCCATTCAGATGTTACTCAGTCTTTTATTGTCAGAAAAATGCTTACCGGTATGAAGAGATCTCAAGAAAAGTTGTGCGCCTGCCCATAATTTCAAAACTACTATCACGAATTTAGCCATTTTACCGTCTATTTCTTAATCAGGATACGAAAATATGTTGTTTGCCGCAGCATTTTCTTAGCCTTTTAATGCATTTCGGCGTATTGGAGAGTTGGTTTCCTCCACTGCTCATTGTTTGCCTAACTCGCATGTCATGACTAGTTGGATGTTCGTTTTATAGAATCGGACACTGCAACTGATATGAATATCACTTCATCCACAACTGATTAATTTGGTAAGGGTACTGTCTTGGTGCTTTCAGCTACAAATATCAATCCCTGCCCTGTAAGTTTGTTTAAATCTTACCTGGACATCAGACCGACATCCTCTGGCCCTCTCCACATTCATTTTGGGGGTTTACCGACATTAAATATCAATTCATATATGTATTGAAAAAATCCTTCTGTGCTATTTGGGTTAGAAGTTCGGATCACGATACCCATTCCTTCAGGGTTGGGGCAGCTACTATAGCGTCATTCAATGGTTTCTCTGACACTCATGGAAAAGGGCAGGCGGAGATCAAAAGCATATGGTAAATATATTAGGATACCAACTAATCGTTTGATATCATGTTAATTTATTCAAAACCCAATGTTTCCTTCATATTTGTTATGAACAGCTGAATTTCAGCTGAAGTTTTTAGTTGTCCCAATTAGTATATGAAAGCTCACTTTTGAAGACGCGCCCATGCTGTTGGTGGTACACTGTGGAGGCAATGCTTTGGGTTAAACAGCATCATGTGCACTACGTTATATAATGTTGGTTATCATAAAAAAAATCATGAAATGTTCCATGGTACAACAATAGTTTGGTCACATATTATTCCTCGATTATCGTGGATAAATGAACGATGTGAATTTGCTTGTGAAAGGAATAGGCGTCATGTTAACGGTCAAATTTGGTCTGCAACTATTCGAACAGGGGGATGTTACTTTAGATACCCAGACATATCGGTCGATGTGCGACGTTTATTTTTGCACGTTGGAGATCATCTGAATAGATTTGGTACACTGTAATGATAATTTTTTGTATCGCCTTCAGCCGGGTTTACAAAAGTTGCTTGGGGAGAATATGTTTACTAATCCACAATTAGAGGAATTCGGTTTCTAAAATAGAACAACCAATTAGTTTTAAACAAATTGCGTTTGTAATGTTTAATCTTGAGTTGTTCACATTTTACAGTTTTACATCTATATGCTGGTTGCCACTTACGCCCTGGTTTGAGGGTCGGTAGCCTGGCTTGTTTATTGTGATTATTCTGGTAAAACATTTATCTATTGTGATTTATCTGGTAAAACATTTATATATTGTGAATAATCTAGTCAAACATTATCTACAGTGTCTAATATGGTTCAACATTTATCTATTGTGACTTATATTGTCAAATATTTATCTAGTGGGTGTAATAGTGTCGAACAGTTATCTGCTGTATTTTATTCTTATTGGTAGACATGCATCTACAACATTTTTATTTATCATTTTTGGTTGTTTGGTTTTGGCTTCGATATACTAGCGAGTACATGCCGCATTCAAGTGTTCATATCGTCACGTTTGGTGGTGTTGCCTGATCCCTACGTCAGGGTCCTCATGTCTTAGTGCAGGCATTTTGCGCAATTTGTATGAACACCTGAAATGCTACACCTAAGATATGTGACTCACTGCTTAACAGTTACCCAATTCTTGGGTTATCGGTTTTGAATTTAATCATATTATCCATGTCATTGACTTTATTTAAACATATTTTTAATTTGCATCTAATATACAAAAGGGGTTGGGCACAAGTTGTCCAACTTATGTATAGCTCTTTCGCAATAACATAATGAAATATATATATATATATATACAATATGGCAATTTCAAAATTAATTATTTGTTTCAATTAAGTTTAGCGTTACTGAGAGAGAGAGAGAGAGAGAGAGAGAGAGAGAGAGAGAGGTAATAGCGTCATAGCTTTAAGATAGTTAATGTGAGATCGTAGTCGAAATCTTTTCCGACCCAGACGGCGCTAGTAACTCCACAATTCACAACACTTTCCGTGCCTCTGTTGTCTTCCCCTTGTAAATTCAATTCCTTCTGGTATTTTTGTTTCACTGGTGCCGTTTGGATCGTGGAAGACCAGAAACACGACTCTTCAACATTTAAGATAAAAATGATTGTCGACTAATAAATTAACCGACGTAATACCAAGATCGTACAAATTCTGTAAAAAGGGGGAGGGGTATGTGTGTGTATGGATGCGTGTTTGTGTGTGTGAGTGTGTGTGTGTGAGTGTGTGTGTGTGAGTGTGTGCGTGTGTGGATATATTTATCAAAATCTATGCGAATCTAGAATATATTGCCGAGTATGTTGGAATATTATTTCATTTTCATGGTGGCTTAATTCCAAACTAACAAATAGTATCAGATGCCTTTCCAGAGGAATGAAATAGTTTAGTTCACGATATAATTTAATTCTTTGTTCTACATAGTTGTTACAATCAAAAAAGAAATGATATGTATCTTCAACTGGATGACCACATTGACAGTGTCGGAAATTTATTAAATTTGCATGGAAGATATCGTACTAGCTCTGTTTCTTAATCTGGTATGTAAAATATTAAGTTTTCTATCGTCAATCACATAGTAATTTGGAACATATTAAATTTTGAAGATTTAGGAGAGAATTCTTAACGCTGTATGTGAAACTCTATGTCTTATGTCTAGGTCTTATTGG